TCTTGCATCCACGGTTTTGTTGTTGACTGTGTTCAAAAGTATTACACGGGATTTGGCACGTTTCAGATCGTGTAATCAATTCTATATAGCAATTGCCGGGTGATCTGCTTTTTGGTGGCCTCAATGGTCGTTGACTGTATTAATCATTGGCTGTGGGGGTGGTGAGAACTAATGGAATGTGGCTGTATCTCATATACACGTTGTATGGTAGGCGAGCACGAATTTTTCATGTTGCGCGCTATCACAGGTCCGGAACTTTTCTCACATTAGGTCCGGAACTTTTCTCCTAGATCGGATCAACGAGGACCTGGTAATATGCGGCGTTGACACCCAGTGGGATGAATTTCGGCTCTCGTGAATCCTTTTTGTCGTTATCTCCCTAAAGTAAACACGTCAGAAACCTTTGCAGATTTGTTTGATTCCACCCTGTACTGGACGCAATGCTGCAAACTCGAGTTTCTTTATTAATTTTTTTTATTTAACGAACATAGAAAATTAAAGTTATTTGAGGACTAGTTTAGACTTGTTAGTCTATTACTTGTCTTGCAATACAATACTGAAGAAACTTCTGTTGAATGTTTTTTAGTTTACTGATTATATTAAATTATAACTACATTTTGGCACTTATGTCTGACCGATGAAAAGTTTTGAGTATAGTTGAAATCAAAATCATGACCTCTTATCATTACTTCTAAAGCAAATGGATAAGTTGAAGAGTCCTTTGGCAGATGAAGACCCTGTCAGGACACAATGTCTACAAAAATGGGACAATAGTTTTCGAGTAGGACGCGATCAGAGTCTTTAAATGTTATCTAAATCTATTTCGCCGATGTGTGTAATTTTCGAGGATATAAAAACAATTTACAGTGCTATACCATTCGATTGCGCAACATTTTAGTAAAAGCGAAAATATTACTCCTAGCAACACGCCCGTTCCATGTACAGACGTCTCTAATGAAAAAATATGACTACTCCACAGTGAACGCTCCATTCGTATAAAAAAGATAAACTTATAACCCATTTCTTTTCCTTAGAAGAATGCATGTCGTATGTAACAAAAAATTTTCCATTCTAGAAGAATTTTGTATAATATAATAAATTGAGAGTTATTTTAATAGCGTTTGGCAGCCTTCGCCAACTTTCGCCATTTTATATATAGTGCTAAATAGCATTATATGGATTTTAATACAATTATTCCATTTTAATGTAGACAAACAGTAGCTTTATGTAATTTAGGTATAAATGTAATTATTTATATGTTAATGTGTCGTGTTTTCTCTTTTCCCGATGTGGAATAAAATTATTTTAATTATTTTAATCTTAAATTTATATCATTTATTATTACTTCTAGCATTACTGATATATGGAGTACTCAAACATTCAGAGTATCATAACAGCGGCTCGAGCCTGTGATTCATTTTTTCTTTTTTCGTTTTGTTTTCGATGGGCTTTTCAAATGTTACATTATGTATATGAATATAATTTCCCTTATAATTATTCATTTGCGGACAAAATCGTATTTTGTTTCAAGGTTTTTTTCATAATTCGCGTACTTTTCTCCTTTTGCTCTAATTGGGTCCTTGATATCGAACCTGGGACACATACTAGGAATCTAAGGTTGTTTGATAACACCATGTAACGTTTCGCCTGACTAGTCGAATAGCCCTTGGTTCCTCATGAAGGTTGCTGAGGTCTTCATACTTATATGAAATTAAGGAGGCTGGACTGAAAATACTCCTTTCTGATATCTTGTATCTTGTATTAACTGATGTTTTTGCTTTCAGCCCCGAGACTATTAAAGCTTCATCTGACGCAGAACCGGTGGGCTAACCAGAACCCACGGGTTTGGGCCCTCCGCTGTGGGTAGGGCCACGCATGTGCTCATGCGTGCGTTTAACTATGGGCTTTCTGATATGTTATTATCTGTTCTCAAGCTCCCATACATATAAAACACACGTTTATGTATATATCTGTTTATATCTTATTATATGGTTGTATTACTGTAGTTAAGTTAACACTAATCTGGTTATTATGTTTAAGTACTGAGACGTCACCTCACCCTGAAGTCTCAATAAATTTGATTGAGTTAGGCAAAGCAAACCCTAATACCAAACTCTCACTTGAGGAGTCAGGTAAGAATTTCACAACTTCAATTATATTTGAGTATTATTTGATGAGTGTTTGTATCAGCCCATATACGTTGGTAAAGTTTATTTGTAAATATACATATTATATGCACAGGGTGGCGGGACTGCAGTTTGAATGCGATGAAAGGTTTATTTCATGCTACGTTCTGCTAGCATTTTGTGGAGTTACAGTTTTTGCTCAACATATGACGAATGTGCTCTCAGAACACTTTTTATTTTGCGATTTCCGATGAATTAAATATGCAACGCATCTATGGCATCAACGGCTTTTTACTGTATATTCTGTATAATTGGATGCATTTCATCTGTCGCATCGCTTGCATATTAATAAATTAAGATACATATTAAAAATATGAGTAACTGTATGATTTCAATCAGTTTCGAGCCGTATTGTAGAAGGAATAAATAACATTTCGACTGAATTTCGGCACCCAGGGTTGTGGATTCGATTCCCACACGGAGAAGCATTCGTGCGACCCACAGATAATTGTTCCGGATCTGGAGGTATGCTCCCAAGGAAGGTTGACGTCAGGCCAAAACCACTTTCAACATGATGTGCCGACCCCACCTAGGTGAGATAAGGGCAGGGGGATGACGATGTTAGTTTACGGCAAAGTACTCAACGTTAGTCAACGAATAAAATAGACCAAGACTAAATACTTAAACATTGTTTTGCAAAGTTAATGGTGTATAATTTACTGGGTCCTTTCCGAAATATTCAGCAGAAATAAGTGGACAGCTACGCCCAGTAGGTACAAGTCTGTACAAAGAATGTAGTATTGTCTGTAAACTTTAGATTTTTTTAACTTAGTAGGAACATTCTATAGTTCCTTAAAACTTTTGATTGATGAATGTGTTAACTGGGTCCCAATCTTCTCACAGCTGATAATGCATCTGTACTCGTTTTGTAGATGACTATGGATTGTAACGTAGATTTAAGTTAAGTACTCGTATATTAGATAAACAGCCCTAAATGCTCGCCATTTCTCACAAAAAACACTGATATGGAAACATGATGCAATTCCTCGCTTAATAGTTCCAGAACTGCGAAGTTGCAACGTTGTACAAACATGCCCGAATGTTCAGTTTCGAATTCAGCATAGGATCATAGAGTAACTTGTGCGAAGTTCAAATGATTTATGCTCCACAAATGATATTGTTGTTGGCGAACAGTTGAGTTTTGTCTAAAGTCTTTTCATCGCAGCAGGTACTTACATTCCATATCACCTATGTGTATGGCATTTAATTACTTTTATTATACATTTTTATCTTTTTATTATTTTCTTTACTTTACAAGTCTATTTAATATTTTCTCATTTATCTATTTATTGCATTAATAGTACACCTTCAGGCACGGAAGGATTAAAACATGAAGTAGGCAAACGATATTTTAAAGTAAAAACATTTAAAAAGTAAAAAGTACCTTGCTTTTTGCAAGGTCTGCAAAAGCAGTTTTTTAAATTTCCATATGGGTTTTCGACTCAAAACCTATATCGTGCTTCCGGTAATTCACACTAATTTGTTTCAAGTTCTAGAAATGTAGACTCAGTCCAGATTTTGATGCCTTTTCGACGTCGCGATTTTTATTTGATGTATCTGAAAAAATATTAGTGTAACAATGGCGAACAATACATTCGTTCTTGGGTTTTACCGAGAATTCATTTCTTGGCGCCAAAGAGATTTATCATCACTCATTTGTATTGCTCTTCAGCTTTCTGAGTGTCTTCCGGTTGATCATAGACTACCGTGGCCAACCTGGAAGTCTTTAAATAGACTTCGGACACAGGTTGGCCGAAAGAAGGAAAATATGTTCCCCCCTCAGGATACTCAGACCTGGACTGTATGTGTTGAGCAGTGCAGATGAGCCATGGACGGCTCATCTGATGTCCTGTCCTGCCTGCCCTTTCACCTGTTCGCAGCAGTATTTAATGGATGCCACAAATTGTGATTTCGATGTGACTAAGTTTTGAGAAGATGTGATTCGTCATCAGCATGTAAAGAAGAGGATGTTCTTCAATTAATGAATCACCTGGTTAGCTTTTTTTCAACTTCTGGGACCAGAGCAAAACGGTAAAATCTATCGAGGCAATTGCAATTGGGAAGAAATTGAATCTGCATAATGCTTACTTAAAGTTTCCTGTATGCTTTCTTTTCCTAGGGTCAATGATAAATCATCCAATTGCGGGCAAGGCAGAAAAAATCGCTTTGCCTCCAAGCCATTCCTAAATAAATATCCACAAAATTAATCAAAACAAAAATTGGCGCGAATGCGCTCTGCTCAAAATGGCGAGTAATAAAGGCGACAAAGAAGTTTTTATAAGCAGGATAAACATGAATTTAATGTTTGACTGCTACTGCAGTACTTTTTCACAATTCAACGTCGACTTTCGTTAAAAGTGGTATTATCTTAGACACAAATCATTTGTTCTGGAACGAATTTGGAATTTTTGCTTCCTCTGCAATTAAACACTGGGGTTTATATCTGTTCGACTAATTTGAATGAAGAAGAACATAATAATTATGTGAAATGAAGAAGAACATAATATGACACAAAATCCGTAAAGTACCTATACTAAGTTCATTCTTAATTTAACAGTTCTCGTGGATCGCGTGCACGCGTCGGACGCGTCCTTGGGTTACGCGTAATTTATTAAGAAGTGACAGAGACAAACATATGCGGAAGACAAGGATCATTAGATTGCAGTTAACTTTATAGGCAGTGCAAGCGCAGGTAGCTCCGCCCTTCCTCCCCACGCATAACAACAACGGACCTCCGCTGTGACTCAGCACGGTGCCGGCGGGAACATTTCGTAGGCCTATTTAAACATTTCATAGGCCTATTTAAACGTAGAAATGCAACGTACGCCTAGTAAAGATAAGACCTATGGCTCTGAACCAAATGTGGCTAACCTACAAGAAAGACGTCCCACTATGGATAACTGGATAAATGTACGGCAAAAGAAGAAAAGAATAGACGAGGATTCCGACAGTGATTCCAGTAGGAATCGTGAGTGTAGGAGGCAGAGAACATCTTGCTGTAATCATGAAGACATCAATAAAACCTTAGTTCTTCTAAGTGAACAGATGAGCTCCCTGACATCACTCCTAAATACATTCAAAAATGAACAGAACTCCCGTTTCTATGAGTTGAAGAATGAGATAAACGACATAAAGAAGGGAAACGCGGAGATTGAAAAATCACTAGACTATCTTGGAGGGAAATATATGGAAATGGAAAAATGTTTAAAGGAAAGGAAAGAGGAAGTAATGAAACAGGAAAATCGTGTCAAAGAAATCATACATAAAAACGTCTACTTAGAAAAATGTAATAAGGCATTGGAAGAGAGACTAATGAGACTGGAACAAAAGGAACTAGAGTTGCAAATTGAATTACAAAATGTAGAAAAACAAGAAGGGGAGAACTTGTTGGGAATAGTATATAAAATAGCAGAAGAATTGAGATTAGAGACGAAGGACATTGCGAAAGTTTGGAGAGTTCCCGGTGATAGCATCAAGGCTCCACGGCCTATAATTGTTTCATTAAATTCACGAGAGGCGCGCATTAAATGGCTGAAGAGCAGGAAAGATAATATAACAAATCATGTCATACTGAATAATAATAATAACTCCAGAATATACGTAAATGAACATGTGACGCGTCAAATTCGTCAACTATTTTGGAGTGCCAAAAATAAATTAAAAGAAAACTTCAAATTTATATGGATACAAAATGGAAAGATTCTCATTAAGAAGAGCGAAATTGAGAAGAAAATATATCAAATTAGTTTTGAAAGTGACATAGAAGAAATCTTACACAAGAAAAAAGAGTGAAAGTTATTATACATACATATAGTTTACATTATAAATATCTATTTGGTATTTTATTATGTTTTTTCTTTTCATAATATTAATACGTATAACATTTTATTAGTTTGCATTCCCTTATAACTAAAATAATATATAAAATAATATTTGCTTAATATTTATATCTATATTTTTACATACACATAAATATATATATATATATTTTTTTTTTTTTTTAATGACATCCAATTTTATCTCTCAACATAACATTCAAGATATACCGTATCACAAATACACGGAGCTACAAGAGTGGTATGAAGCACTAAATACACAGTCTACATGTTTCCAAATAATACACATAAATGTATGTTCATTGCGGCTACACTTTGGAGAACTTCTAGTTCTACTTAATGCATGCCTACATAACTTAGATGTTATATGCCTAACCGAAATAAACATCAAAGATTTTGAAATATACAAGTATGATCTAAACGGCTTCAATATGTATGCTCAGACAAGAAATAATAGAAGAGGTGGGGGAATAATAATCTATATAAGAAGAGAAATAACATTTATAAGAACAGAAATGTGTAGCAAATACTGTGAGTTATTGGCAGGTGAGCTACAACTTAAAAATTATAAAGCGAAAATATTTGTAATCTATAGGCCTCCGGATCTAAATAAAACAAGTTTTATAACGGAATTAGAAAATATCTTAAACAGCATTTCAAAAAGGTGCAATTTAATAGTTATTGGTGATATCAACATCAACATAAAAGAAGACAGTTTAGAGGCGGTCTCAAATAGGTACTTAAATAGTTTAAGCGAACTCGGATTGCAGTGCGCGATACGTGATAACACTCGGGAGTGTGTTACCTCCGGACGATACGTAGCATCATGCATTGACCACGTCTTCGTGCGGACTGACAAGGTAGTAAGTTCTCTCCAGGCATATATAGTCACGAGTAGGATCGCTGATCATTACGTAATTGGAATCACAGCTGATTTAAGAATAAATAAACAATTAGAACAGTCTACTCAGCAGTTAGTGTTTAATAATAAATTGATATTTGAAAAACTCGATGCTATCATTTGGTCGGAATTAATGCTAATAAGCATTAATTCCGACCAAATGATAGCAGAATAGTTGAAGATCCCCATCAACTATTTAATAATGTTGTATATATTTTTCAAAATATCTATAAAACATGTACCATCCATCGCACTCAAAAAGCAAAACGAAACACGCAGCCATGGGTTAGTAGTTATTTACAGCAACAAATTGAGAAAAAGGACTCGCTCTTTAGGAAATGGAAATCACAACCAAACAATAATAACTACAGACTAGAGTATACAAGACAGAGAAATTACGTAAATAAACTCATAAATCGTGCTAGAAATAAAAAAAGAAAACTTGAATTATTAAATTGTAGAGGGGATATGAGGAAAATTTGGAGCAACATTAATCATTGGTTAGGGCGAAATAGATTATCAGTGGATGATACAGTTGAAAAGCATATGCTAAATAAATTTGCGAAGGATTCTGTGCTACGTTTACTACTGAAATAGAACAAATTAAAAGTCAACATAAATGTTCAGAGTTATTTTTAAAACGGGATACATATGTTAAAGAAAGTATTGTGAGTTTTAGATATAGAAAAGTATTACCTAATCAAGTGCTAAAAGTGATAGAGAATTTGGACTGTAGTAAAACCCCGGGATCAGACGGTATTAGAGTAATTGATTTGAAGGAGATAAAATTTAAAATTGCCCCCGTAATTGCACGTTTTATAAATTTATGTATACAAAAAGGAGCATATCCTAGCGAACTAAAATTAGCGATTATAAGGCCAATTTATAAGCAGGGACCGCATGATCAATTCTCTAATTACAGACCTATCGCTATTCTGAATGTAATAAATAAAATTGTAGAAAAAATTATTGTTAGCCAGATAACACAGTTTATGGAAAATCACAAAATAATTAACGACGCTCAGCACGGTTTCCGGCATAAGAGAAGCACGGCTACGGTTCTATGTAAATTCGTGGATGACGTAAATAGTTCTCTTAACGATAAAAAAAACAGTATTTGCTATTTTCATAGATTTCAAAAAGGCATTTGACACTTTAAATCACGGGGGCTTACTGCAGGCCATGCAGGAATGTGGTGTTAGGGGACCGATTAATGTATGGTTTAGAGAGTACCTAAAGGACCGTAAATTAAAAGTTCGCATATGTGGAATGAATAGTAAGGCGGGTGACATTCAGTATGGTGTTCCTACTGGATCAGTGTTTGGTCCTGTCGGGTATCTAATGCACGTAAACAGCATGCCTAATATTATTAAAAACTGTAAGACTTACATGTACGCTGACGATACGTGCATTATATACAGCGACAGAAACCAACTTGCTATTCAGGAAAAAGTACAACAAGATTTTGATAATATTATCAGATGGGCTCACGACAATGGGCTCATTATTAATCTAAATAAAACTAAATGTATGCAAATAGTGTCTCCACACAAAAACAAGGGTATTAACATTACAATAACTGGACACACATATGACTGTTTACACAGAAACCAAGTTGATTGCAAATGTTCGAAGTTGGAAAACGTAACTAATTACAAGTATCTGGGGCTAAATGTTGACAATCGTTTTAATTGGGGGTTACACATTGATTATGTATGTAACAAATTGCGGTCTATTCTTGGAAAATTGCAACACTTAAAATTTATCGTAAGTACAGGTGTTATGTACCTACTTTATCATGCATTGGCCGATGCAATTATATCATACGGATTGGGGGCTTACGGTCTCGCTTTTCCTACGTACTTAAATAAAATAAAAAACTTACAAATAAGATTATTAAAGTTATTAGTTAATAAAAACGTTAAAAATTCACTCAATCACGAATATGAAAGACTGTTTAAGATATGTAAAGTTCTCCCGGTAGATTTTAAAGTAAAACTGCACATCTTATGTGAACAAATTAACAACAATCAGTATAGGCAAGAAAAGGATTATATATATCCAATTCGCTCAACAAGAAAGCCAAGTCTTGTAATTCCCAGAGTAAATAATGTATATGGTAAGCGGGAACGACGCTGGATTGCACCGGCCCTAATTAATGAATTACCACGTAACACTTATTTAGAAGCAAAGAATAAAAATGAGCTGAAAAACAAATTAATAAAACATTACCTATCCCTATGTCCGTAATTAGTCAACTCTGTAGTGTCACACACAAGTACACACACACACACACATACATACAAGCACAAACATAACACACACACACACGGAACCAAGTAAATTGATATTTATTTTATTTTATTCTAACATACTATAAATTGATAAACTTATATATTATAGGTACTTATAGTTAAGAAATTGTATTTAGATGTATATACATATCATACATAGACATATATATATATATAGATATTATACATAGGTGTCATATTAGTAAGGTTGAAGTACATCGATGTAACTATTCACGAGAACTGCTGCCGACAAACTGCATCACAGTTTGGCAGAGAATAATTTATGTTATTGTACTTTATTACTGGATTAAATAAATTAAAAAAAAAAAAAAAAATTACGTGAAGAGAAGTGAGACAAGAATATATAGATGTCGCATACTGCGCGGCGTTTAATAATTTTTCTGCTTTACATTATATGACACATGACGAAAACACCATTTAGTGTAATTTGAGAGAATTAATTTCGGTGCTCTCATATCTTTGACTAAAATATCATTGTTTCAGAGTACATAAACCTTCTTCTCATAAGAAAATAAGTGAAAACAATAGGGATAGAAGGAGTAGGCACTGGTATTAGTAAAATTGTATGCAACCGTCATTTCACTATATTTTGGTCTATAATGTTTTGAGGCTTTATCTTGTAACTGTTATTAAATTAATTCATTATAAAAACAAGGCAAATAACAGAAGCAACTGTGATGTTTCGATGTTTGTAATAAAATTGAATTTATTGTTGCAATGTTTTAGTCCCAGCTTCTTTGTAAGCGGGACTGAACTTTTTCAGGTTAATAAGTCTTTGTCGTGCGGCTTTGGACAGCGATATTTTAGCGCTGATATTTTTTATTTCACTTTTTTTTCCGCCCAAGAAACAAAACTTATGAATGCAGCCCTAATTTTAAAGGAACAATGCTCAATACTTAACGATGCCATTTTATTTCGCGTAGCTAGACAAAGAAATTCATTATAAGACTTGCCACACTTGTGTACATTTTATTTACTTTTAAACTAACGTGTTATTACATTTGATTAGAAATAAGAATGGATTAAACATTTATACAGGTCGTTTGTTCGTTTTGGTATATCCTAGTCTCTTACGCAATAAAATAGGCTAATATATTGTACTTTGCGTAATCCAACATCAATATACCTTATATTGAATAAAATATTCAATTATTAAAGTATTATATAATCAATATTGAATAAAATCTAATATAGTTTAGTTTTATTTATAGTATTTATAATATCTATAAAAATGCAATGAAGCCGTTTATCTACAACAGATTTTTTTATCTTCTGTTATTTATATAAAACTAGCGGACCGACAGACTTTGCCCTGCACACGACTTAAATCCGAAAACAAATTATAAACAAAGAATTAAGAAAAACATTGTAATGGACCGAGTTGTGAATCTAAACCATTCTCGAATGTACCTGAAGACACACAAAAAATTAATTAAAATCCAGTCGTTTGGGAATTCAGTGACAAACGCACGTACAAAAGAATGCTTTCTTATTTATTTATTTTATTTTTTGTTAATTTTGGTTTTCATTTTCTCTTTTATTGTGTGCGTCCTTTTTTTGGTAAATAAATGGATTTTCTTTCTTTCTTTCTTTCTTTCTTTCTTTCTTTCTTTCTTTCTTTCTTTCTTTCTTTCTTTCTTTCTTATGTAGTTTTATCTAATCAAAATGATAGAAGTCTGCTGTTGTGCGCTCATCCAGGAAAGACTACTGTCTAATCTAATAACATTTTTTATTCTA